TAACGTCCCTTATAATGAACTCTATGATATTTAATCATCCATGTATTATGAGTATTTAATACTACAACTAATGATTATTAATAACTTGAATATTATTGGATACTTAATATTCTTCGACATTGTTTTCGGTGTCTGTGACCTTACAAAGGTCAATTTTGATAATGAAGAGCGCAGTATTGTCGTCCTTAATATAGTTTTCTGCTTGAACTTCATCAATTGAGCTATTATTCAAGTGCAAGGACTTGAAAAATGTATAGTTTTCTGCATTAACTGGTATCTCTTCAGCCTTACCATTAATCATCACTGAAACTCTGCTAATTTCTGTTTTGTTTAAATTTGTCAAGAATTCATACAATGAATTTCTCCTTTTCCCTGTACCTTCACTAGAGTCTTCAGAGGTGGTCTTTGCGGCCATCCAATCGTGTAACAACAACGAAACGTTTGGATTTGCCACCATATTTTCGTATTTTGTCGTTCCTTTAGGTGTAGTCATGATAATGTAATCCGCATTGCTATGGTAGTACGTATAATTCATCAACGACACATGGGGAATGTTATCTAAACAAGTTGCCAAGTGGACATATCTAGTCGAATTTAACAACTTGGTAACAGATTCTGGTAATTTAGTAGACATTGTCTCGTATTAATCTTGATTGAATTTGAGCTATAATTATTGTGATATCTCTAGTCCTTTAAAGATTTACGGTGCGACCGATCGAAAGTGACAGTGATAAAACCATTTATTGTGTCAGACTTCAGCAATTCGAATGACATCAAAAAACAATATTGAGTTAGATTTCGAAGGTGAATTTGCTCCTATTAAGCCATTATCTGAGGAAGAACTACAAAATGACCGTTTAATTAAACGCATTAAACTTCAAAAGAAGCTTGAAAAGCTTGAAGAGCATGATCTAAGCTCAGATAACAGAACAGAACTCATTAGCGATTACGCTGATTCGATGGCCATTGATAAGCCAGTTAAGAAGTATCAAAAAAGGAGAAGCATAAATGAAAATGCTGATAGCCAAAGGAATAAATCAACACGTATAAACATAGATTGGATTAATGCCCAAAAGAGAAGTACACGTACCCATGAGCATGCAAAAATAAACAAAGATGATAAAAGCAGATCTATTGATGAGGCGATTGATGATCATGAAAATAAAAGTAGGGACTTGGAGAATGATGATCGTAATGTTTCCAAAAGCGCTCAGGGAGAACTGTCAAAACTGAAAAATGAAAAACGCTTACGAGCTGAGAAATTAAAAAATTTCAAATTAACTGATTCAGGATTTGACTCATTAATAAAACGAAGCAGACTTAAAGAGAAGTGGTCAATGAAAGGCGAGAATGATACATATCAAGAAGAAATAAATACAGAACCAGATGGCTTTGATGCATCTCAACAGTACAGAGATTTTAGTGCCAATGAAAATGATGTAAAATTACTCAGGAAGAAGGTACTATCACAACTTGTAAATAAAACAACAAATTTCCCCAATCTACTTGAATCTCCAAATTTAATTAGCAAATATAAAGAAGTTTATAAAATGTTTGAACATACTGTCAGAGATAACGAAGGACATTCGCTGTTGATAATTGGACCAAGATCTTCAGGAAAGACCGCAATCATTCAGCATGCGTTAGACGATTTGTCCTCTAAGTATCCTGGTCAATTTATCACGGTAAGATTAAATGCATACTTACATAATGATGATATCGTTGCATTGAGAGAAGTTGCTAGGCAATTAGATTATAATGCAAAAAAGCTACGCACAAATGACGATGTTAGCTCCGGAAATTTTGAACAGAGATCCATAAGTGACACATTTACTAATATTTTGTCGATATTAGATAAAAGCTCGAATACCTTTAATCAAAATAATAATAATACCGCCAATAATAATGAACAAGAAGCAGTTTCTATAATATTTATTATCGAGGAATTCGAAAATTTTACAAGTGGCAGTAAACAAACCCTCTTGTATAATTTATTTGATTTGTCACAGAGTTCGTCTACTCCAATATGTGTTTTAGGGGTTTCTACTAAAATAACTGCTAGAGAATTGCTCGAAAAGAGAGTCAAAAGTAGATTCAGTCAAAGGATCATTTCCATCAATAAATCTAGCACGATTGATGAGTTTTGGTCTAATTCAAAACTTGGGTTGATATTAAGTAACGAATTTATTGAATCATTGGAAGACAAAACTTATGGGATATTATGGAATCAATATGTGGATTCAATGTATTCATGTAAGTCGTCATATTTGCGTAAATTAATTTATCAAAACTATTTTACAATCAAAAATTTCAAGGACTTCAATAATAATTGCATATATCCAGCTTCCAAAATATCTACGCTGCTGCCATTCCTTCATGATGGAGATTTCAAGAAATATTCCACTAACCAATCTATCAACAATGTTCAATCTATCGTTAAGTCGTTATCAGTTTTAGAGTTGTTATTGATTATTGCTGCTTCAAGATGGATTGAAAAGTTTGACTTGCAAGTCGTAAACTTCAATCTCGCTTACAAAGAGTACGAAGAAATGATTAAGAATTTCAATATTAACTCAGCTACGGTAAATTCATCATCCCTAATTGATAATAATATCCTATCCAACATTACTATTAATCAAAAGATATGGTCGCCAAAGATATTGAAGAATTGTTGGGAATCTTTATACAAGCTAGGAATTTTATTGGATTATGGTGCAGCTACTACTAATGCCGATGGTCAAGTCATATCGACGACAAGTTCGAATAGAAATATTATAATAGAGGATAACAAAATGGTTCAGTTAGATATTACATTGGACGAATTGCATCATCTCATTGATGATCTGAATGTTTATAGATCCTTAACTAAATTGTAACCTAGTGTCAGAATGCGGTATTCCGCATGTTTCATAGTTGAATAATATTATTATTAATTAAAACATTGCTCTTTTATTGCCTCATGTTTCAGAATTATTTTAGTTTCTTATTAAATTGACGCACTAATAAAAAATGGAAAAACGCAACACATTTGAGGCCTTATAATAATATAATAATATAATATTCAATACATTTCGTACATTTCATGACACATATAAGTCCAAAATAGGCATGTTTCATTCGTGTGATAATTACAGAAAGGTTAATTAATTTCTTATTCTTAATTTATGGTAAAACAAGCGTGATTATGAAGTTAAAATTTGCTATATATATATATAAATAGTTCACACCTATGTTTTACAAATAAGTTAAAAACTCTACCAGAATTATTTGGTAAATGTATAACCAAGTTTTATCAACTCAGAATGAAAATTAAAAATATTCTAAATATTAACACCTCAGGGGATTCTTCAAAGACACTCCATGAAACAGTGTTGAAAAATTTCAATAAAACCCCGTCAGGTAAGATTTATGAGAATGAATTAAAGGATATTTACAGTATGATGCTCATTTGCTTAGAATTAAAGGAGATTCAGGGAGTTAGAATGAAACTTAATCCTCTAGCTAAGTCACATCCGTATTCGTTTCATATTGAAGAAGCTTTAGAAAAAATGAAACACTTAGAGGTAAAAATTGAATTATCTAAGACAACGACTACAATATCATATAGTATTAAACCTGATTTAGGATCCGCATTATTAAGTAAGTTCTTCAATGCCAAATTGTTGCACTCGCCTGCTGATAGAACGAGATCAATGCCCAAAAATGGAGTACTCTTGCAACCTACGCCAAAAGGTGTAGCTATTCTACAGGACTTTTATAAGAAGATTGGAGGTAAAAAAGAATCAATTCCCCCAATTTTATTATCCAGCTTGAACTCAATGGATTTATTCAAATTTGATAGAGATCCAATATCTGATAAGATATTATACTCGGATTATTTTCTTCAGTTGATCTTTGTGAAGTTAGTTAGTAATACCCCCAACATTTGGTCCCCTAATAAAAAGCCTGACCCGCTACCTTCAATTGATTCCAAACTAGACTTGAATGAATGCTTTACTGATGGTTTTGATTTTAGTATGTTGGGAATTGATAGAACTACTGTGAACTTGCAAAACCTTTATCCTGGCTGCGAAGGAGTCAATTTCTGGGATAGCCAAAGCAATGGAAGTAATATATCGACTGAAGGAAGAGATAAGAAGTATTGTCTCATTAGCCCTATACATCATACGTATTTTACTAATCCGGAATCAGATTCCCATGTGCAATATTACGTCTCTAATACAGGTGTCAGGTTTCATCAAGATATGGTATTCAGGTCCACTGCAGGGGAAGATGTAATTGTAAATTTATGTATTTCTGGTAAAGCAATATGCCAATGGCTTTGTGATTGTACCGATGTCATAAGCGTTCATCATGCCACTGAGATAGCTGATCTTTTATTGAAGGTAAAATTACTAACACCGATCACATTGTATCCTTCGAACGCTAATCATAAACGATTTCAATCTGATAGATTCTCATTTTACATCCTAAGCAACCAAGGATTAAACATTGCGCATTGGACAGACATAAATCAGAATGAATTGTTTAACAACATTGAAGAAATCCCAACAGAAAGACTCACTTATAAAGAATTATCAAGCCAGAGTGTTGAATCATTTATAGATAACTGTGAGGCTAGAGATCCCAGGTCGCAAATTAGTCAGAAAATTCCAATAACAACCTTACAGGACAACTTGAAAGACCCTGGAATGAGGTATTTATTCAAAAAGCATCTAGAGAAGGAATTCTGTTCAGAAAATCTAGAAGCATATTTGCAGTTAAAACAATTCCATAAAAAAATAACCATCCTAAGCCAACTTCTCATATTCAAGAGAAGCTGCATGAAGCAGGTTACGAGATCTATTGACTGTCAAATTATCCAATTGGCTAACACATGCTTAGGTATGGCATACCACATTTATTTCAGTTACCTTAGTTCAGATTCTCCTTTCTTGTTAAACATTAATTATAACTTGAAGGAAAAAATAACAAGAATTATGTTAAACAAGTCTATGATTTCGAGTGCACCTACTCAAGATTATACCAAAACCCCCATACAAGAAAATTCTGGAGATGATTCTGAACCACAAAGTATAGCAGACGACATGGATTTGGGATGTTCTCCAAAATCTACATCACCTGTTACATCCATTAAGCTGCCTACAAGTAACAATAAGGCAAGAATTACTGGGGATTCTAACATTAAAAGGCAAGATATTGTGTATGAAGAATTTGACTTCCAATTCAAATCCCCGATGGAACAAAATATCAGAAATACTTTAAATATTTTAGTTCAAGTTTCAGAGATCTTTGAAGCAACAGCAAATCATATTTACAGATTAATGGAAGTTGATTCATTTCCTAAATTTTTGGATAGCGACATCTATCGGCGTGCAACTTCTTACATAGAACTTAGAAAATAATTACATAGCATAACCATTATTAGAAATAATTTTAACGAATTCAACTATATTAACTCATACAGCATTGACTATTTAAAGGAAAAATTATAGAAACGAATAAGGGATATATATAGCTATAAATACAATACAAAGGTCAATCATAAACAGATTTATGCAATAGGTTCCAAAGTGGTACCTTTTTTAATAGTAGCCCAACCAATTAAACGCCAATGCTTTTCAATACGTCTAGATAAAGCAATCTTTTCATCAACTTCAGTACAAGCAGGAGAAGTTAATTGTAAACGTGCCATATCAGCTCTGACAGCGATGACTCTGGCACCTGTTGCTGTAGAACCAATATTAACCATCAAAACTTCACCAACTTCTAACTTACGAACCTTTGCACCTTGCTTTTGACCGTCAGTCTTAACACCCAATAATCTTCTCAATAAGAAGTAATTGATTTCAATATCAGTGTAAATAGAAGGTAAGTTACCTTTAGCACCAACCACTTGACCGACCAATCTATCAGCCCTACATAAAGTAGGATCAACCTTGGTACCAACACCGATTAAACCACCAGGAACAGCAAATTTCAAATCATTATGTTCAGCAAATAAAGATACAATATTGGAGAAAATAGGCTTACATTGAATTTTACCGTTATCGTCCTTAGTAACAATACCCGGTCTGATTTCAATTTCGTCACCAATCTTAAAAACACCGTTCAAGATGGAACCACCAGCGACACCACCCTTCAAGTCATCAATCTCGGCACCTGGTTTATTAACATCGAAAGATCTAATAACGATCAATCTTGGAGTAGCCATGAAGTCTCTTGGAGGAATTGGAATAGAGTTCACAATAAATTGATTAACAGCATCGATATTATATTTTAATTGGGCAGAAATTGGAACAATTGGAGCACCATCTGCAATAGTACCTCTGATGAAACTCAAAATAGATTTCTGATGTTCCAAAGCTGATTCCTCTCTCATTAAATCAACCTTGTTTTGTAAGATAATAACATGCTTCAATTTCATAATTTCAATGGCAGCTAAATGTTCAGATGTTTGTGGTTGTGGACAGCTTTCATTACCAGCAACCAACAACAATGCAGCATCCATAACGGCTGCACCCGACAACATAGTACTCATTAAAATATCGTGACCTGGACAATCAACGAACGACACATGTCTGACCAACTTATAACGACCTTCACAGCCCTCTCTTTGACACTTTGGTCTTATTTCTTTGTCGGATTTGAATGATCTATAACAATCTGGTTCTGGGCATTCTTCATTGTCACACCTGTAAATCTTAGCATTAGCATACCCTAACTTAATAGTAATGTTTCTTTCTAATTCATCCTTGAAACGAACGGTCTGAACACCTGAAATAGCCCTCACAACGGTGGATTTACCGTGTGCAACATGTCCAATAGTACCAATATTAATGGTGGCTTGTCTATTGATAATTTCTGCTGACAAAGGTGTCAATTCTGAAAAATCTGGGTTAGTTGGTTGTTCTGGTAATCCTCCTCCCTCTTCGAATTCTCTTTTGGCTGCTTCTTCATCAAATTCATCCTCTAATCCAGCAAACGCCACTGATTTCTTTTCTTTGCTTGCTTCTTGGGGCTCTTCGCCTTGTTCATTATCACTTTCGACATCATGTTCGTATTGAACATCAAGTTCGTGATCTTCGGCAGAACCACCGATCACAATATCTGGTGTAGCATTTTCAATATCGTCGTATGACATATCTATAACTTTCAACTAGTAAAACTACGGCAGAAACCTATTTGTATACTGTATATCAATTTTTTCAAAGCGTTTATTACAATCATTGACTAACTAAATTGAAATTTTTCATTTGGTAAAAGTACACGACTTTTGATTTTTGTTGATAGAGTAGTGTATGAACCATGTATATGATTCTATACCAATGTTGTAGCTATATTACACGTCTATATGCCCTATGTCGTTATATATTGTACAGAAGTAAGGTATTCGTCATTCGTAAGCCTACCTAGTATGAAAACCAAAATCATTCATGACACTGTCCACGTCTTTCCAGAGTAAATCAGTATTGATGTCAAGGTGATCTATTTCTAGATTCTCTAAACCACCTTGAATAGGAGATTCGTTTAGTACCATGTCAGTTAATGGTATATCCAAATTACTTCTATTGGCAACATTTGAATTCGGGTTGCGTGAGGAATTGTTCCTTGTGTTCTGGTTAGAGTAGTACGAGTGCATTCTCTGCTGATCAGGCAATCTTTCGCCTTCATTATTGAAACCGGTTTTTGCAGGCTGGTTGTATTCGGTGTAGATTTTCGTGCGACGAAATTGATCATTATCTTGATGGGAATTCGGAGTGACAATTTTGTAGGGTGATGTTCCTGACATATTCTGAGTTCCTTGTTGCGGAGAGTCAGAACTTTCTCGCGTTCGTTTATACGGGTTATTTGGGTTGTTGGATTCCATAGACATGAATAAACTACTTCTGTTTCCATGTACAGGGATTGGCTGTGGGTCCAATGGAATTGTCTGGATAATTTTTCTGGCTTTTGATTCCGCATTAACCGTTCCAGATAATGAACGTTGTCTCTTTGTCCTGCTCGACGTGTTACTGCTAGGTGTGGATTTTGGACTTCCACTAGCTTTCTGACTTCCTTCAATAGACTTTTCTTCCTCTTCAGATGCTACGGCCTCGTCATTGTCTGCATATCCGTACTCTTCTTCATCTTCGCAAGAAACACCTTCGTTTTCTTCCTCCCCATCATTTCCTTGATTTTGCTCATTTCTACTATTCAATATAATCATACCTACTTGATCACGTAAGAGGTATAGACAATCAAAAAAAACTGACGCGGCCATTCTGGTTCTGATGTTGATGCTTAAACTGGTTAATTTTTTTTCATCTAGTGTTGCAAAAAGCAGCCACATATTCCTCATTATTCCACTTGACCTATGTGCCATGTCATGCTTCAATATAGATGCCTTTGCGGCTAATGAGATTGCAGTTAAATAACTTTGTCTTCCAGAGCCTAAATCAATTACATTCTTCAATGACGAGTGGGATAGTTTCCCTATAATACACGAAGCTTGCCAAATATTCAAAATATAGACACCTGGCAAGTACTTAATAAATGTTTGAGTCTTAGTCTGGCATAATTGTGCATGGTTTACTAACGCTATTGCGGCATTGTAGAGACGTACTAATCCTTTCTGTAACTCAAAGTAGGCAATTCTGGATGAGTCCATGAAATAGTATGTGAGGAGGTGAACTCTTGCCGTCAATAACTGAAATTCTCTGAAGCCGTCATCTGCTGGCATATCATTCTTTACTTTCAATTCAAGTTCATCCAATTGTCGGGATAAGATTTTTAACAAGGGCAATCTTTCAGTAGGATCAATCAAGCCGCAGCTATCAGTTGGGTTTGAATTCAAAGTTTTTGCAACTTGGTCTTCGAAATGAGCAATCTCCATCATGAATTGAATTGATTTTGGAATTTGTAAACTAGTTCCAGACTTACGTGAATTATATATTGATGTATCAAACTGAACAAAAGCTGGAAATCCAAACGCAGTGGCAACATCTTGAGAAACAGTATTACACACTATCCATGTCTTTGCTTGCTCTTGGCTCATGGCAAGTTCTTGTGGAGTTTTAGGTTCTTTACTATCATGTGCCACTAACAGCCCAGGAGTATGCAAACCAATGCGGATAGCTTGGAACAATGCAACACCGATAGTATTCCAAGATGAATCAGCACTCAATGAAGACGTAATTGGCGGCCAATATGTATATAATAAAAATGCTTGCACTGAATACACAGAGCTGGCATTCATTATTGGTTCGTCTTCAACTGTCGGATTATATCTCGTTATCGGAGAGATTGTAATTTCTGCTAAGATGCCTTTTATAATTGGTGATAATTTTATAAGCAACAATTTTTGCGAATTATCGTGGTACCTTCTTAATGATACAAACATAATAACCCAGAAAAGTGCAGGACATAACCTATATATTCTTTCAGGACCCATAGATACGTCAACAACAGGTAAAATGGGATGGTAGTAATCAACATACTCCACAAATAAAGCTTTGATGATCTCGCTAGATAACGAGACATCATCTAGTCGTTTTTCCTCGCATAATAGATCCTGCTCCGGTATTATCACTTTCTCTGCTTTTGAAACGAACTTTTCTTCTGGTGGGTTCGCTTGAACCATGGGCCTCGTTATCGAAGGAGTATTAGGTATAGAATTATTCGTTTCAGACGAGTCATGGAAGTATCTCGTGTCATACTGAGCATTATAGGGCGAAACCGATGACGGCCATGATTCAGAAATATTTTGGGTACGTTGGATGTGTGACCTGTCTGGTTGATATTGAAGTTGAATTCGGTCATTTGCCAGTTGTGGTTGAGGAGACACAGATGAGATGGTGGCCAGCGTAGGATCATTAGACAATGTGGGCACCTTACTGAGTAATTCTGCTGCTTGTGTCGTTGTAAGTTTCTTCTTCAATTCTGAAAACTCCTTTTCTATCTGAGCTATTCTCGCTCTCTTATAAGTTCTTTTATAATCCGATTTTAAATTGCATTGAAGGCCCTTCTTGGCACATCTTGAACATGGAGCTGGATGCTTCTCGTGTGCATCACATCTCGATTTCTGTTGACGACATTCAACACATGCCATTCTCTTAGTTTTTCCATTCTTCATTTGATTAGAGTCGCCAGCTCCTGGCGACATTTGATTGTTATTCTTATTTCCAGATGCCTCATCGTTCAATTGTTGATTAAGAACTTGTAGCTCGTGTGACATATTAGCTATATGTGCTAAATTATGTAACGAGGTTTGGTGTAACCCATCACTCATTATTATCACTATTCGATATATTCCTCTTTCTTCGTACTATGACCTAATAAGTAGTTAATTGATATTATTGTGTTTATCTGATGACTATGGAGCTCTTAAAAAAAAAAAATTTATGCCGCACAACGGCTGGAAAACAGTTCCAATAGAATATAGATAGACTAGCCCAAATATACATAGAAATAAAGAACTGAGTTATCAAAATGCATCTAGCTCGCTCGTTCAGACAGTCTAACTGTGATATACGGCTTCTTTGGGGTTCAGTGTTTATGAGAATGGCAAGTTATGGGCTAACTAATCAAGTTTTAACTCTATATCTCGAAGCATTGAATATATCAGAAACAAAAATCGGATTATTCATGACCCTAACATTGGTAGGTGATACTATTATATCATACTTTTTGACATGGTATGCGGACCATATAGGAAGAAGACTTGTTATGATTATTGGGACACTTATGATGATTACGTCTGGTTTAACATTTGCATTCTGTTCCAATTTTATAATCTTGCTAATTGCGGCAATATTTGGGGTGATTTCTCCATCGGGAGATGAGACAGGTCCTTTCAAGAGTGTAGAAGAAGCATCAATTGCACATTTGACGCCACATAACCATAGACCAGAAATATTTGCATTTCATGGGTTGTTTGCTACAGCCGGTGCAGCACTTGGGGCATTATTCTGTGGAATCATCGTTGACCACTTGCATTTGAATTTAGAGTGGTCTATTGAAAACAGTTACCGCTTTATATTTATAGTTTATGCTGGCATAGCGGTGGTGAAATTTGTATTCATGATATTTTTGACTGAGAAATGTGAAGTTTACTATGATGATGAGGAACTGTCTGATGATTCTACTGAAGAATCGTCTTTATTGAATGAAAACGATTATTCCGAGGACTCTTCCAATCTAATTAGAACATCTAATGGAAAACTGAAATTTTCGGGCCTCTCCCCACAAACCAAGCACTATTTATCTAGATTATTGGTTATTTTCATGCTCGATTCTTTGGGATATGGCTTTATGCCATCTTCGTGGGTTGTTTATTATTTTAAGAAAGCCTTTAAGGTTACGGCCACCGGATTGGGGGTGTTATTCTTTCTTACAAATTCAATAGATTCGGTTTCCTCATTGCCCTCAGCTTACTTTGCAAAAATATTGGGTCCTGTCAAAGCGATATTATTCACCCAAGCACCATCTGCTATTTTTTTCATTCTAATTGCATTTATGAACAGATTTATCCCAGCATCTGGATGTTTGTTGTTATATTTTGCTACGTCTACTATGGATGTTGTTCCAAGGCAAGTGTTGTTAACTTCTATTATGCCTAATAATGAATTGACAAAGGTTATGGGTATTGTGAATATAGGAAAAACTTTTGCTCGATGCATTGGTCCAATCTTTACAGGCAAGTTGGCAGAAAAGAAGCTTTTGCATTATGCGTTCGTAATAAATGGAAGTTGTGTTTTATTAGCAGATTTGATTTTAGCCACAAACTTCCTTCACTTGGATGAAGAAATCTTAAAGAAACAAAAAATTGACTATAACATACAATAAAATGCAAAATTAATTGTTAATATATATTATATACAGTTATATCTATAATGGCAGCTATTCTTAAAGCTATAAGTCATGTAATCGTTAAAAATGTTAAGTATTTAAATTAGAAATTTAATTAGAATAAAGTCGTTAGAATAAGAAGTTCCAAATTTTCCTGTAAATTGGATGAGCATCTCTGATGTCTTTTTCTTCTTTAAGTTCCTGCTTTAATTTGTCGATATCAGTTTCCCTACGACCTGTATCAAGATCCATAGTGGCCAAAGGTACGATTGTATTGAGTTTTCTAGAATATAATTTATGTGACACGAGGAAAACCAAAACAACGACAGCTCCAAGATAATTTTCAAAAAATGTAGTGGCATTAGGAGACTGGCCCAATGGGAATAAAGATATCCAAAATTGCAAACATAAGACAATAAATAAAAGTACTGCTGCGTAGACAGAACCCCAAAATCCTGTCAATGCACGGTAAGGCAATTCATCAAGAGATCTTCCTTGTTTTTTCATGGCCAATCTAAATCTAATATGAGACAAGTTCACTGAGAACCAAGTGAAAAGAGTAGAAAGACCCGATAATGCCATTAACCAAGCAAACACCTCAGTCTGTTTAGGAGATGCTGCAACGAACGACAATAATCCAACAATTGCAGACGCTAAAATACCAACTAATGGACGTCCCTTTCTATCAACGTAATCAAAACATTTTGGAGCTAAACCTTGTTCTGCCAAGGAAAGAATAGTTCTACTGAATCCATAAACGGAAGAGTTACCGATGGATAATAATGAGATTAAGACAATCACGTTGAAAATGGAGGGTAATGCAGTAATTCCACCTGCTTTGATGGCAATAACAAAAGGTGAGGCTGATGCGTCTGATGAACTTGAACCATCAAGCAAATCAGGTGAATCATACGGAACTAAGAACCCAACTAAAGTCAAGGTAATCATGTAGAAAAGTAAAATTCTCCAAAAGACTTGTTTAATGGCAGATGGCAACACAATTCTTGGATTACCAGCTGTTTCTGCTGCAGTTAATCCAACCAATTCAGTACCAGCAAGAGAATATGTTGCAGTAATTAAAACACTCACAACACCCTTGAATCCAGCGGCGAAAGCTCCTGGGTTGTGCCAGTATTCTGCACCAATAAAACCACTTTGGCCACCACCACATATAAGCACAATGGCTAAAATGTTAAAACCAATGATTCCAAGAACTTTAATCAAAGATGCGATAAATTCAGCTTCTCCGAATCCCTTATTTCCACATAAGTTAAGCCCTATAATTAACACATAAAAGATAGCAACCCATGCTACAGAGTTGATATCAGATTGCCAAAAATTAATAGTCATCGAAGATGCCACTAATTCCAATGGCAAGACCACTACCCAGAAGATGGCGTAGTTCCATCCGACTGCAAACCCCCACGATGGGTCAACAAAACGAGTGGCATAAGTAGAAAACGACCCTGAGATTGGAAATAATGCTGCTAATTCTGCTAATGATTGCATGGTACAGTAAAGGAAAGTCGATACCAAGCCCCATGCAATAAGCAAACTAGCAGGACCGTTAGTTAAAGCAGGCCCAACCCCAATGAACAACCCCAGTCCAACACATCCTCCGATTGCAATCATTTGTAATTGACGTTTCTTCAAATTTTGTGATAAGTCTGTTTTTGAAGTCTTTTGGATAGCTCTTTCTAAACCGTCCAAATCCTGTTCGTCGAATTTGTCATCTCTTTCGGCTCTTTTGAACGAATTTTTAAGATGTTGCCATTTAGATTCACCATCATGACTCGATACATCTTTCACATAAAACCCATTCGAGTCACTCGATTTCGAGTTTATATCCATACTTTCGCTAGACATTGTCTTACTAATTGTACTTTAAAATATGTCTGAAGATTTGTAGTTTTTATATATTTAAAGCTTTTTACACCGGTTCAGGCATCTTCTCTACGGCATTTCTTTTAACGGCAAGAATAGTGTATGCAGTCTGCTGCAAAATGATGAATGCCTTTTTTTCCCCAACCATAACGGATTGTACCCGCTCGACCTGAATGAGTCTTCTGACTATAGATGTGTCAATTTATCTTTAACTATATATCTTACAACAGACTCTTCAACAATCAACAAGTATATTATTGTATAGTGTTCTACAATTAGAGTATCAGTTTTTATGCATAGAACATAACTTAAGTTTTGTCACGTTTCTATTTTTTTTTTTCTTTTTTTTTTGGTTGCAACGGTATTTTCGTATGATAAGCCTTCCTCACCAAACCGGCAACGACCCAGCAGCATACCGAAAAAATCTACAAGCATAATATGAGTCAAAGAGAAAGGTTGTAGCTTCGGTTCTAGGTATGAAGTACAATATCATAATCGCCTTGCATACGTGTGATGAGAGTGTAGTGCGATAACTACCACTTCCCCTGACGACCGTTTAAATAGGTTGATTGCGCGCAAATGACAATACTAAGTAAGTCGGACCAGCGGTATCACTATAATGTATCGTTGACCTTTGCAAAGCAGAGATCCTTTAAGTCTTGTACATGGTTGCATTATTTATTAACGAAGCTATTAGTAGCATTAAGAACCCCTTATGATTCAATAGCAGTAATCCGTTAATCAATCGAACACACTTTATCGTGATTAAAATGATAAAATGCGCAGTATCCGGTACATTAGTATTTCATTTCGGAGTTGAGATAGTTCGGGGGCGTTTGAAGAATGATCTGCTCTCTATCGATTGACTCATCAAGATCATATTTTCTGTATATTGCTCTAGTAGAAATTTGACTGCATGCGTATTATACTGTCCATAGTCTGGTATGTGTGTGGTACTGGTGTAGGAGTGAGCTGTTAAAAGGAGGTCACTTCATTAAATTAATTGAACTTATAACCGCCAACAATCTACTAATACTGATACATATATACACATATGTGACTCTATATATAGTAGCACGTCCCATCGCAGCAGCTTATCCTTTCATATTGCCATAATAATGGTTTGGCTGCAATACCAGTTGTATGATGGATGCCCCCGGAATTTCCCATTTCCTTGTATCACACGTGCCGCAATCAGTCGTAATTGCCAGTGTCATGGAATACGTGGAGAATTACATATATAGTGTTCTCCTGATCATTAGATTCAGTATTGATTTAGCTTGACAATACTATAGAGAAGTATTGAAGTATCAATAATGCCATCATCAATTAAATTTCGCGTTACGAATGCACCAGATAAGTTATTAGAAATATACACCCTCTGTGGAACAGAATGGGGAGGTAAGCTTAGCCCACGTCAATTTGGTGAAACGCTTACCGAAAATCATTTGAAAGATATTGAAAATGGTAAAAAGCCTAATGCGTTTTACTTTGAGGATGTAGAGACAGGAAAAGTGGTTACGTGTGCGGTAGTTAAACATATGAAGGGGTTTTATAAAGATGCCGATCGGTCGCAAGCCATTTCTTCGGTCCCAGATCCAGCAACATTTGGGGTTCGTAATGTTACTATATTGTTGTTCTGTTATGTGTTCTGTCATAAAGACTATAGAGGAAAGGGATTGGCCAAAGATCTTATTGAGAAAGTCATTGAGTACACAGAAGATAAGCTAGTGGAAGACCATGTTGAGCTGAGCAATGCTGAAAAGAAGGATAGTTTTAAGAATATGGTTGTTACTGATGGTAAAGTTGACAAAAGTTTAGCCAATTACTATTTGGGAAAACAATATTTTTGGGTATTGTACTCGGGAGTACAGGATTATTACAAAAGATTTGGATTCAAGTCTTATCCATTAGATTTTTACAAAGTTCCCACTTCAATTATTAATGATGAGCAAGAGAAGCTTGTTAGAAATCTTATTAAGAAGGAGGGGAATATTGATCCTAGCCTTACTGGCAAACATTTGAGATTTTTACATTCTTCGAAAAAGCAAGACCAAGATATAATCCAATTTATTTTACAGGATAAAGAATTGGAAATATTGACTGACTTGAACAAGCTGATATTTCATTCCGAATTAGCTGGTAGTCATAAATCATCGTCATCTTTAACAAATTTGTCAAGTATGTTGCAATTATCTAAGCTTGGCTCTAATGTTGCATTGACATCTATAAATGAGGGTGACAACAATCAACCAGGTTCACCAGGACGTAGAAAATCCTCAATTCAAGAGGTATCTGTCCCAAAATTTTCCTTTAAACCTGACTACAATAGTTTTCTCAATTTGGTTTCTCTTGAACAAGCTTCTGCTAAAGGCCTGAAAGATGAACGTGCAATTGAGTATACTGATATTCAAGGTGCAATTCTCACCAATGACTTGCAGCAAAAGTCTTATTATATCCTTTGGTGTTCCTTCAAACAACAAATGTTGTGCATATTAGCAATTGGTGAGTTGAAGTTTGACATGCTCGGAAATATAGGAGATCCAACTGGTAGTATGGGAGGAAGGCGTAGTCGCCGTGGCTCTTCATTTACAGGAATTAATGAGATGGGTGGTTTTAACTTTCAAGATTTAGATCTTCTTATTAGTACGGCCTGTTTGGTAGCTAAGAATAGACCTATTCCAAAGGACGATTCAGTGTTTGTCTCAGTAAATGATTTGCCTACTAACATTCCGATTACCGTCTTATATGATTACTTTATGAACTACTTGCCAAAGAATTTTGAAATGGTGCATTCACCCCATGATGAAACTACCCCAGCGGAGACTAGTGTTGAAATTGTAACAGATGCAGATGTAAAATTAGGAGTTTTACCAATGTTAAAAAGATTTGGCAAGACCTCGCTAGACTTTAATTTAGATTGGACCTCGGATGGTCTTTGGTCCTGGGGTTAATTTAGAATCAGATAGATTATTAATTTGTCAATCTTTAAAAATTAATTGAAAGTATACTTGTTTAATATTATGCAAGCAATTTCTTCTAAGTGTAGTATAATCTCTGTAATATTAATGCGAAAAAAAAAT